AAATTTTTCCTACTCCCGGGGTGTGCAATTTTTGTAAAAGCCCCCGGGAATAAACGAAACCGATGCGACTATGTGGCCAGAAAGCCCAACGTGGCCAGGGGGCCCATTTTTGGACTACCGTTGGGGCAGCTTTTGCACTCGCCTTTTTTGGGGGCCGGGGAAAAACCTATAAAGATACGGGGGTTTTCTCCCCGCCCCCCCCCCCCCTCCATCACCCCGCTCCGTTATTTGCCCGTAAACCCCGTAAATTCGCCCTTTTAAAACACCCATCAAGGCTCCAACACCTCTCCTGGGGGGAGTTTCGCTTTTCCCAACTTCCGCTCTTTTCAATGCCCTTCTCCTCACTCCCTTCAAAGGGATTCCTCAAAATTCTTTTTTTGGAACCCCGTTTCCCAAGAAAAAACTTTTTGCGAGCACCACCCCCCCCCGAGGGGCAAAACTAAACCCTTCCCCCTTTCCCCAAGTTGCGGGTCCCGGCAGTCCCCCCCCTTTTCCCAAGTGGGGACTCAGCCCCTTTTTCCGAGAAATGATGGCTTGTGCCGGGCCTGGGGTAAGGGGCCAACCCCATTTTTTTCCCCCAAAAAAGGGCATGCCACCCCCTGCATTCACAGTAAAGAAGATGGGGGGGGCCAAAGTCTTTGAGCATGTCTCTCTCCAAAGTGCACGCAACGCCGACGTGGGGGACTGTAACTAGGGTCAGGGCAGAACATGCCCATTTTAGGGCCCACTGGTGAACGGGGTCCCCGGTCACAGCCGCACCAGCAACTTGGACATCCCCGCCGTTTTTTGCCCCCACTTTTGCACCCTTTGGTCCACAAAAAAATGTCCGCCTCAAACCCCCCCTCTTTTTTCCCCCGGGGGTTTTCCCTAAACCGCCACCCCCCGGGCCAACCCCCATTAACCCCCCCCGGCAATCACATTTGCGGGGCGAAACTTCCACCTGTGCGCACCTGGTATGCCTTGGCGAAGATCACACGGGGGAGGAATTTTCCTATGTAATCAACGGAAAGAACATGGTGTCTGCTTCTGCGGCAATGAGGTTTTGCCATGGCGCCACTGCATGGGCTCACGTGTTCATTCTGGTTTATCAAAGCGGATTCCTTAAATCCACCATCCACACTGCAAAGACATCCATAGAAATGTCACGTAAACTTTGCATGCATTTCAGCCATTTCCTTATCAATCCCGCAAAGCCACACCCTCCTTGAGCTGCAGCGGCAATAACGGAACTCACAGCATCGCCTGATCTGCGACATATGCCCAACAAGGTGGATTCAACCCTACGACATGTTTTAGACCGCCGTTTACGAGCAGCGAAAGGCCATCACGCGATTTCCTGATGTTACAAGCGGATAAAGGTACTCCCCTTTGAACTTCGATGTCAGCCATTGGCAGCTCATGCGTGACACCTGCCGCTTGCTCAGGCCCTTTGAAATTATTGAGTGAAATGGGTGGTTTTTCCACTCACGGACAGGAGTGGAGGAGCAGGAGCATCTGGTAAGAGGAGGAGGAGAGGAGAGAGAGGACCCAGACGCACCGTGGCAGTATGCTGTGGAGATGGAGGCAGGGAGTCCCTCGCATTCCTTGGCACAAATGGCCCATAGCATGCTCGTTGCTTGCGTACGACAGCCGAATAATAACCATCAGACAGAGGGATGACTTTTGGCTGTCCACCTTGTTGGACCCTCGCTACCGTTCCAAAATGGTGGCCTTTTTCACACCTGCTGAGAGGAGGCCAAAATAACGTACTATAAAAACCACCTATGTAGTCAGTTGGTCTCTGCCTTTCTGCGCCAACGTCCATCCTCAGACACTGTGGGCCCTGTGCGCTCGCGTTCCGCTGCCATGGCAGCAGGGGAGGGGTGGGGTGGTAGGAGCAGTGGCAGCTCCACCAGCAGCGGCTGCCTCAGTCTGCAGTCGATGATGAGTAGCTTTCTTCACCAGCGCAGTGAGGAAACTACTAACCAGCCGCAGCAGCAGCAGCAGCATCAGGTGGACCTGGAGCAGGAGCTCAAACAACAGGCTTGGGCCTACTTGGACAGCACCCTGCCAACCGAGGTAGACAATCCCCTTGACTACTGGGCAACGAAACTTGACCTTTGGCCCCAACTAGCTGAATTTGCCCTTGAAAGGCTGTCATGCCCGGCCAGTAGCGTGGCATCGGAGCGCGTGTTTAGTGCGGCAGGAGGTATTGTAACTCCGCGGAGGCACGACTGTCCACCCAAAGTGTGGAGAGACTCACGTTTGTGAAAATGAATCAGGCGTGGATTAGTCTGGATTTCAAACCACCAGTTCCTGACACAACTGACTAAATCCGCCATGAATCATGCCCCTGCCATGTGCCACTTTCAGGTCTCCTCACACTGCTGCTGTGTTCCATTTTGTCATAGAGTGCTGGCAGATTACGGGCCTCCCATAGCTGCTGCCAGGCCCCTAATCTGCCATGGGCCCCCGTACCGCCTCCTCACGCTGCTGCCAGGTCCACAGTGTGTCATCCATCGCCCATGTGCCACTTTCAGGTCTCCTCACACTGCTGGTGTGTTCCATTTTGTCATAGGGTGCTGGCAGATTACGGGCCTCCCATAGCTGCTGCCAGGCCCCTAATCTGCCATGGGCCCCCGTACCGCCTCCTCACGCTGCTGCCAGGTCCACAGTGTGTCATGGGTCCCTGTGCGGCCTCCCATTGCTGCTGTCTCCATCGCCACACTCTGCCATGTGCCACTTTCAGGTCTCCTCACACTCCTGCTGGGTTCCATTTTGTCATATAGGTGCTGGCAGATTACGGGCCTCCCATAGCTGCTGCCAGGCCCCTAATCTGCCATGGGCCCCCGTACCGCCTCCTCATGCTGCTGCCAGGTCCACAGTGTGTCTGCCATGTGCCACTTTCAGGTCTCCTCACACTGCTGCTGTGTTCCATTTTGTCATAGGTGCTGGCAGATTACGGGCCTCCCATAGCTGCTGCCAGGCCCCTAATCTGCCATGGGCCCCCGTACCGCCTCCTCATGCTGCTGCCAGGTCCACAGTGTGTCATGCCATGTGCCACTTTCAGGTCTCCTCACACTGCTGCTGTGTTCCATTTTGTCATAGGGTGCTGGCAGATTACGGGCCTCCCATTGCTGCTGCCAGGCCCCTAATCTGCCATGGGCCCCCGTACCGCCTCCTCACGCTGCTGCCAGGTCCACAGTGTGTCATGCCATGTGCCACTTTCAGGTCTCCCTCACACTGCTGCTGTGTTCCATTTTGTCATAGGGTGCTGGCAGATTACGGGCCCCATAGCTGCTGCCAGGCCTCCTAATCTGCCATGGGCCCCCCCGTACCGCCTCCTCATGCTGCTGCCAGGTCCACAGTGTGTCATGCCATGTGCCACTTTCAGGTCTCCTCACACTGCTGCTGGGTTCCTTTTGTCATAGGATGCTGGCAGATTACGGGCCTCCCATAGCTGCTGCCAGGCCCCTAATCTGCCATGGGCCCCCGTACCGCCTCCTCACGCTGCTGCCAGGTCCACAGTGTGTCATGCCATGTGCCACTTTCAGGTCTCCTCACACTGCTGGTGTGTTCCATTTTGTCATAGGGTGCTGGCAGATTACGGGCCTCCCATAGCTGCTGCCAGGCCCCTAATCTGCCATGGGCCCCCGTACCGCCTCCTCACGCTGCTGCCAGGTCCACAGTGTGTCATGGGTCCCTGTACCGCCTCCCCTTGCTGCTGTCTCCATCGCCACACTCTGCCATGTGCCACTTTCAGGTCTCCTCACACTGCTGCTGGGTTCCATTTTGTCATAGGGTGCTGGCAGATTTACGGCCCTCCCATTGCTGCGGCCAGGCCCCTAATCTGCCATGGGCCCCTGTACCGCCTCCTCACGCTGCTGCCAGGTCCACAGTGTCTCATGGGTCCCTGTACGGCCTCCCATTGCTGCTGTCTCCATCGCCACACTCTGCCATGTGCCACTTTCAGGTCTCCTCACACTGCTCTGGGTTCCATTTTGTCATAGGGTGCTGGCAGATTACGGGCATCTCCCATTGCTGCTGCCAGGCCCCTAATCTGCCATGGGCCCCTGTACCGCCTCCTCATGCTGCTGCCAGGTCCACTGCCAGGTCCCACAGTGTGTCATGCCATGTGCCACTTTCAGGTGTCCTCACACTGCTGCTGGGTTCCATTTTGTCATAGGTGCTGGCAGATTACGGGCCTCCCATTGCTGCTGCCAGGCCTAATCTGCCATGGGCCCCCGTACCGCCTCCTCACGCTGCTGCCAGGTCCACAGTGTGTCATGCCATGTCTGCCATGTGCCACTTTCAGGTGTCCTCACACTGCTGCTGGGTTCCATTTTGTCATAGGATGCTGGCAGATTACGGGCCTCCCATTGCTGCTGCCAGGCCCCTAATCTGCCATGGGCCCCTGTACCGCCTCCTCACGCTGCTGCCAGGTCCACAGTGTCTCATGGGTCCCTGTACTGCCTCCCATTGCTGCTGTCTCCATCGTCCCATCGCCACACTCTGCCATGTGCCACTTTCAGGTCTCCTCACACTCCTGCTGGGTTCCATTTTGTCATAGGATGCTGGCAGATTACGGGCCTCCCATAGCTGCTGCCAGGCCCCTAATCTGCCATGGGCCCCCGTACCGCCTCCTCATGCTGCTGCCAGGTCCACAGTGTCTCATGGGTCCCTGTACGGCCTCCCATTGCTGCTGTCTCCATCGCCACACACTTGCCATGTGCCACTTTCAGGTCTCCTCACACTCCTGCTGGGTTCCATTTTGTCATAGGATGCTGGCAGATTACGGGCCTCCCATAGCTGCTGCCAGGCCCCTAATCTGCCATGGGCCCCTGTACCGCCTCCTCATGCTGCTGCCAGGTCCACAGTGTCTCATGGGTCCCTGTACAGCCTCCCATTGCTGCTGTCTCCATCGCCACACTCTGCCATGTGCCACTTTCAGGTCTCCTCACACTGCTGCTGGGTTCCATTTTGTCATAGGATGCTGGCAGATTACGGGCCTCCCATAGCTGCTGCCAGGCCCCTAATCTGCCATGGGCCCCCGTACCGCCTCCTCATGCTGCTGCCAGGTCCACAGTGTCTCATGGGTCCCTGTACGGCCTCCCATTGCTGCTGTCTCCATCGCCACACTCTGCCATGTGCCACTTTCAGGTCTCCTCACACTGCTTCTGGGTTCCATTTTGTCATAGGTTGCTGGCAGATTACGGGCGTCTCCCATTGCTGCTGCCAGGCCCCTAATCTGCCATGGGCCCCCGTACCGCCTCCTCATGCTGCTGCCAGGTCCACAGTGTCTCATGGGTCCCTGTACGGCCTCCCATTGCTGCTGTCTCCATCGCCACACTCTGCCATGTGCCACTTTCAGGTCTCCTCACACTCCTGCTGGGTTCCATTTTGTCATAGGTTGCTGGCAGATTACGGGCATCTCCCATTGCTGCTGCCAGGCCCCTAATCTGCCATGGGCCCCTGTACCGCCTCCTCATGCTGCTGCCAGGTCCACAGTGTGTCATGCCATGTGCCACTTTCAGGTCTCCTCACACTCCTGCTGGGTTCCATTTTGTCATAGGATGCTGGCAGATTACAGGCCTCCCATAGCTGCTGCCAGGCCCCTAATCTGCCATGGGCCCCTGTACTGCCTCCTCATGCTGCTGCCAGGTCCACAGCGTCTCATGGGTCCCTGTACGCCTCCCATTGCTGCTGTCTCCATCACCACACTCTGCCATGTGCCACTTTCAGGTCTCCTCACACTGCTGCTGTGTGTTCCATTTTGTGATAGGATGCTGGCAGATTACGGGCCTCCCATTGCTGCGGCCAGGCCCCTAATCTGCCATGGGCCCCTGTACCGCCTCCTCACGCTGCTGCCAGGTCCACAGTGTGTCATGGGTCCCTGTACGGCCTCCCATTGCTGCTGTCTCCATCGCCACACTCTGCCATGTGCCACTTTCAGGTGTCCTCACACTGCTGCTGGGTTCCATTTTGTCATAGGTGCTGGCAGATTACGGGCCTCCCATTGCTGCTGCCAGGCCCCTAATCTGCCATGGGCCCCTGTACCGCCTCCTCACGCTGCTGCCAGGTCCACAGTGTGTCATGGGTCCCTGTACGCCTCCCATTGCTGCTGTCTCCATCGCCACACTCTGCCATGTGCCACTTTCAGGTGTCCTCACACTGCTGCTGGGTTCCATTTTGTCATAGGGTGCTGGCAGATTACGGGCCTCACATTGCTGCGGCCAGGCCCCTAATCTGCCATGGGCCCCTGTACCGACTCCTCATGCTGTGACGTTGCAACAAGGTGGAATTCAACCCTACATATGTTAGACCGCCTTTACGAACAGCGAAAGGCCATCACCGATTTCCTGATGTTACAAGCGGATAAAGGTACTCCCCTGTGTAACTTAGCTGTCAGCCATTGGCAGCTCATGCGTGACACCTGCCGCTTGCTCAGGCCCTTTGAGGAGGCCACGCTATTTGTGAGTCGGCAGGACTATGGGATGAACGACGTCATTCCTCTGTTGCACGTCCTGGAACAAATGCTGTTAACAATGGCTGGTCAGGGTGCGGTAGACGTGGCGCACAGATCTCAACGCCACATGACCCCTGTGGGGGCAGGACAGGAAGAAGAGGAGAAGGTAGAGGAGGACATTGGTGCTCAGGAATTATTGAGTGAAATGGGTGGTTTTTTCCACTCAGCGGACAGGAGTGGAGGAGCAGGAGCATCTGGTAGAGGAGGAGGAGGAGGAGACAGAGGACCCAGACGCACCATGGCAGTATGCTGTGGAGATGGAGGCAGGGAGTCCCTCGCATTCCTTGGCACAAATGGCCCATAGCATGCTCGGTTGCTTGCGTAGCGACAGCCGAATAATAACCATCAGACAGAGGGATGACTTTTGGCTGTCCACCTTGTTGGACCCTCGCTACCGTTCCAAAATGGTGGCCTTTTTCACACCTGCTGAGAGGGAGGCCAAAATTACGTACTATAAAAACCACCTATGTAGTCAGTTGGTCTCTGCCTTTCTGCGCCAACGTCCATCCTCAGACACTGTGGGCCCTGTGCGCTCGTGTTCCGCTGCCATGGCAGCAGGGGAGGGGTGGGGTGGTAGGAGCAGTGGCAGCTCCACCAGCAGCGTGGGTCCCTGTACGGCCTCCCATTGCTGCTGTCTCCATCGCCACCCTCTGCCATGTACCACTTTTAGGTCTCCTTACACTGCTGGTGGGTTCCATTTTGTCATAGGGTGCTGTATGGCCTCCCATTGCTGCTGCCTCTACCGCCACACTGTGGCTCCACACTCTGGTTTTGGCCCCGTGACTGCCCAAATGAGTGAAGTGTGCGGTGATTCTAAGATCGACGGCACTCATCTGCATGTCATACTGACTGACAGTATTATTTCTCTTCCCCAGCAGACTCCAAGGGCATTTAAATTAAAGGTACAGTGTTCTGCACTAATATAAAGGCTCTCTGAAGCCTAGAAACACCCTTTTACAAGTTAAATTCACAGCGAATACATTCGACTTGAATCAAATTTTTTTCACGAATTCGCCGAATCAGTCGAATCAAATTTTTGAATACTTCGCTCATCTCTACTCCTCTCCATCAATAAGAAACCAGCAGACCTAGAGTAATCCTAAACATCCCTCTTTGTCAACTTATGGCCCAGCAACTGCAGCTCACTGAACAGGAAACATATACCCATACTCTATTTTTGCTCCATGATGATCTGAGAGGTAATAAGGTATGTAGCTCTGCTCCTGACTGTGAAAGGCCTATTTTCTAAAATCCTGAAACATCAGATTATGTGGACCTCGAGATAGACTGGGTGCATAGAGTTCTGGGCCTTAGGAGCTCTGATTCAGCCAGATCTCAGAACATTATATGTCATGTACATTTTCTAAAGACGATATTATGTCCAAAGCTAGAGACCTGGGATCCATTGACTTCCACTGTGCCAATATCACATTGCTCTCATACCTCTCCAATATACCTTGAATCAATAAAGAGCCCTTTAATAACTGGGAGGAGGTAGTTCCTTACAATGTCATCCTCAGTGACCCAGAGGACTCAGAATCTCCTGCCTTCTCAAACTTACGCTGCATGGGCTCCCTGATTCTGCAAAGCCTGCAAAATGACCCCAGGATTTGTGTTATCAAGGAAGGGATCAATACTGGTTGGCAACCCTTCTTGATCCACGTTACAAGGGTAAAGTTGCAGAGCTTATCCAGTCTTCGTTCTGTCAAAGGAAGAGCTGTGGAGAAGGCAGCCAGCTGACCGATGCCTTTAAACAGTTCTTTAGTCCTCAGCACCCAGAGCTGTTAGGTTTAAGCACCCATCAACAGTGTCTGCATCATATGGTGCAGGATTATCTAGGGGTAAGAGCAAACTTGGAGACCTTTCTAACTGAGCATCCACTGGGTTACTAAGTCTTGAGGATGGATCACTGGCCAGAACTTGCTCAATATGCCATTGAGCTACGGGCCTGTCCTGAATCCAGTGTGCTTTCCGAACAGCGATTCTGTAGAACTTTTTTGCAGGAGACAACGACACCTCTATACAAAATGGTCTTTTTAACTTTTTTGTTTTGTGTGAGTTGCTCTGTTGTTTTTTTAATAAACCGTGGCCTTTAAACAACTTTACTACACTCAGATAGCGCTGCCTGTGTTTTTCCCCCCCCCGCTCCTTAATTTTTACTGTCCCCTCCTCCTCCAACCACCAAACTCATTCCAAGGCTGACGCTTTGGATGGATGGCACCAAGCATAGATTTTAATACTCAGACAGGAAAAGTTAACAAAACCCCCCCCGCGCGAAAAACCCCAACAACCCCCCAAAAAAATAATTATATAACAAACGAATGAGATCCACTCGGGTTCTTTTTCCTGCTGTCCACTTTTTTCTATGTTTTTCTAAGCTGGAAAATTGTTTCCTTCTTCCTTTAAAACTGGAGTCCACCCTTCCAAGTCTACCAGTAAACAATGCGATTGCCTTCATTGGGCAAGATAAGGAGCACTCTATGGAGCGAGAAGGCTAGAGATTGGTAGGGTAGCCCTCCATTGGCAGATAAAAGTGCAACCTTCTTTGGACAGAGCTAGAGATGGGTATGGTTAGCCCTTAAAATCAGGGAATGTTGATCCCCTTAAGACCATTTTCAATGAGAGGCACAACAGAAAAGGGGTTTCAGGCTCTTGTTCTTAAAAAGGACGCTGTTCGTAGGCCAATACGAAAAAAAAACCCTGGGTGGAGCATGAGCCTAGAGGCAAGCGTGTTGGTTGGTGGGGTGTATGGTGTGCTGAACATAATTACCAATACAAGCATACTGTGTGTCCTGGCACAGTGTCCTGTAACCTCTGAAAGGCCCAGCCCCAAAGGATGAACGAGACAGCCCATCAGCTTCTGTGCTTTGTATGCCCCCAGTTTAGAAACAACAAAGAAAATGTTAACTGAAAGGATCAACCATGGTACTTCAGATTCCCGGGGTAACCGGGTCCCCTTTTTGGACCCTTTTTTAAAAAAATAATAAAGCCCCCTCTTTACTTCCGTGGGATGGAAAAAGAGATGTCTTGCAATCACTGGAAACCCCCAAAAAATATTCCCCATGTAGTTTAAACAAAAGGGCCCCCAATGGTCCCCTCTGGGGAAACCCATGGGGGTTAGGCCCCTCCATTTTGGGGTTTTTTACAAAACCCCGGGTTTGGGGCTCCTACCTCCAAAGGGGAAACCCTTTTCAGCTTCAAAGGGACTGCTTTCCCTTTGGGAAACTGTAACGGGAAAGGGCCCCACTGCACTAGGGTATTTTTTCCCTTTAGACTCCCGCCCTTTTCCCGTCCAAAAAACAGATCCACCCGGGAAAACCCCCGCGACCAAAACAAAAACAAAACCAGTCCGGGCCCGAACATGGGGAAAACCCTTTTTTTGAAACCCCAAAAACAAAAAAAAAATTTTTTATGCAAAACAAAGAAACCACAAAACACAATCTTCCCCGCGCTTGGGGGTTGGGCCAATGCAGGCTACAACCACATAAGGAATGTCCGGAAAAGCAAAACCTTGCCCCCCCCTCAAATGGACCAGGGGAAATCCAAATAAACTGAATGGAGAAAAAAAATCAGGGGGCCACAAAGGGCCAAAACCCTTTCCATAAAAAATGTTTAATAAAAAAAAAAAGTATGGGTTGTATTCACAAACGACAATATAGTCCCAAGGCCAAAAATCATAAAAAAACAGCTGGGGCAACACCCAAACCCTCTAGGAAGAGGCCAGTTCCCCGAAACACTCAGTCTTTTGGATGTCCCCCAACTCCCTATTGCGGACTGTTACTCAGCGCGGTGTTTACCCAGCTGTTTCTTTTTGATGTGCCTTGACTATATTTTTTGTTTGGGGAGTACAACACAAACTTTTTTTTTAAAAAAAAAATTTTTTAAGGTAAGCACTAGGCCTGTGCGCCCTCTGT